CTCCATATCCCTCCCTGCCATCAAGTCGAGTCCAGAGTCGAGTCCAGCCTGGGCTGCAGACGCCGCAGACGCCGCCGACGCCCCTCTGCGTCGGTCTCGGTCGTCTGGCGTTGGTTGGGCTTGGCAGAGGGGGGAAACGGGAAGCGAGAAGCGAGAAGCGAGAAGCGAGAGACGAGGGACGAGAGACGAGAGACGAGAGACGAGACGACTACCCAAAAGAACAACAAAAATCTATGGTTTGGGTGTTGCGGTTGGGTGTGAAGAGAAGAAAAGACGACCGCGGGGGTATCGCTGAGGTGGGTCGAATTGCGGTAGAAGACTGGGCTTGTCCGAGCATTTTCATATTGGAAAGTCCGAGTTGGACAGGTGGACAGGGGGGAAAGGGAGGGCGTTTGCCAAACCGGGAAGAGAGGTGGAGGGGCGTCACGAACATGCTTTCTTTTCTCGTATCCATTCTCAATTCCATCATTAATCTAGTCGTAGTGACTGTACCGTCCTGTCCTGTCGCCTGTCGCCATGTCCCGGCTGCGAGGGGTATCTGCAGCCTCAACCATTGTACTGTACAACCCGACCTTCGCCACAAAACCCGTGGCGGTATCTGGCAGCCCGTTTCCTTCCCCCCATCCACCAAACGCCAATCGCAACACTCGGGGATCGAGTGGCCCTAGTTCCCATATCGCCAACCCACTCGGGGTGGCAGCCTCTCGGTGAAAGGTATTAGAAAGTATTTCCGTCATTCTAGAAGCGCGGCAGCAAAACAGTCAGGACCCGGTCCCAAAACGTGGACGGGGGTCCTGCGAGAGTGGATATCAACGCTGACAGATACCGTAAGCCAACAACAACAGCAGCAGCAGCAGCAGCAGCAGCAGCAGCAGCAGCAAAAACAATAACAGCAGTAACCACTACAACGACCATTACCACAAAAGAGTATACAACAGCAGTGTACTCCAACATCTGACCGACTTTTCGTGTATGCAAATTTTATGAAAAAAAAAAAAATTATAATAATAAGAAGAAGAAGAGAGCCGCAAGGCCAAGGCATCCACGGGGACAGTGGTGGTGGTGGTGGTGGTGGTGGGTAGGAGTAGACCCCGACGGGCGATTCTAGTCGTCGGAGTGATGATCTTCGGATCCCGCATCGGATCGGGCCTCGCCCTTGTGGACTTTGCGGTGCCGACGCAGATTGGAGACCACCGAGAAGTGCCGTCCGCAACCGTCGACTTCACAGCAGAACGCTAGGCGAGTCAGTCTTGCCCGTCGGCTCCCAGGATGCGAGCGCGGTCAGGGGAAGGGGTGGCTGGGCTGGGGGGGACTCACGTTTTTCGCCCGTGTGGCTGTACATGTGCGTCTGCAGCGAGCTCGGGCGGGTGAACCGCTTGTCGCAGATCTTGCACTTGTGCTTCTTCTGCGTGCTCGACGACACCTTGGAGCTGAACTGTCCCATCATCGACGCCGGCGCGGGCGGCATCCCCCCCCCGGCCCGGTCAGCAGCCCCGACGGCCGCGGCAACGTCCGCGACGAGACCGACTCGATGTCCGAGCCGGCGTTGGAATAATCGCTCACGGACGAGTCTACCGAGCCGCTCCCGAAGTAGGGGGGGTAGGTGTGGCCCGGCGACGAGATGGACGAGCTGCTGGAGTGGGTGGTGGGGAAGCCGTACGCGTCACCTGATCCCCTGGCGGCGCGCCCGGCTTGGACTTCGTAGATGTTTCGGGGGGTGGTCTGGCTCATGGCGATCATGCCCCGGCTGGCATCAATGGCGTCGCCAAAGCTCCGGGGGGACCCGCCCTGCAGACCCCTGTCATCGAAGTCAATAAGGGAGTCGTCCAGCGAGAGTCGCGGGCGGTGGGCGTCTTCGGCGCGGCCGAAGAACGAGGGCGGGGCTGGTACGGACGGTTGGGACGGTCGCCGCGCGTGATCCTGGGGAACCGAGTAGGTGGACCGGACGGGCGCGGGCGCATATCCCATGTTCTGGTACGGGGACGGGGCCGGGGCGTAGGCGTTGTGCGGCGGCGACGACGCGCTCGAGTAGGCGTGGTGGTGTTGGTGTTGGGGGGGGTGGTTCTCTCCATACCCGGGGCCGATCACGCGAGACGGGCTCAGCAGATCTTGCGACATGTTGAGCACATCCTGGGAGCCATAGACGTCGGCCAAGAGCGGGCTCCCTGATGTTGCTACTGCGGCGGCGTTGATGGGGACGGCGCTTCCATATGATCCGGCCAGCGAGGCATTGCTGTGCAGGCGGGGAGCATGCTGCTGCTGCGGGTGGTGGTGCTGCTGCTGCTGATGCGGGTGCGGGTGCGGGTGCGGGTGCGGGTGCTGGTGCTCTGGCTTGATGTCGAGTCCCAAGCCGGCGTGGATGTGGTGGGAGGAGGCGTAGAGATTCTGGTTCTGGGCGGGCGAGGATGCTGTCGTCCACGGGTTCGTGAATTGGGGCGGGTTGGGATAAGACATGTGGTCGAAAGTCATGCCGCCGAAGTGTTGATTCTCGATGGTCGTCGTCATGCTTCGCTTCGGAGCGGATCGGGGGGAGCTGGTCGTTTCCCGGCGGAAGGAGCCCTCTCCGGGTTGATGATGGAGGGCACGGAGGGGCGAGAGGAGGTCCTCGGTTGATCAGTTCGGGACTGGCTGGCTCGCTCGGGCTCGGATCTTCGTCTGCTGCCCGTCACCGTAGTTCTTCAGCGATTCCTCGAGAAGGGATCGACAGCTCGCTTGCAGTTGGGCGGGCGCGGGCGCGGGAGCAGAGATGAAGCAGCTCATGGAGCGACGACGACCACGACGACGACCACGACGACGACCACGACCACGACGACCTGGCAGTCGGGGTGATGTGATGGATGAGGGGCGGGTGTCTGGGACGGCGTGGACGTGGAGAGAAAATTATGAGCGCACGGCTGGGTCAGTCCGTGAAGCAGCGTGCGGATGGGTAGAAGTTGAAGATGCGTGCAAGAGGTAAATGATCGACGAGGACTGGTCGGATCAGAGGGCGCGAGCTTTAGAAATAAATAATAAGTATTGTGCCGGAGTGGAGTCTAACGAGCGGGTAGCTGTGACGGTGAATGGGTGGTGTTGGAGAGGAGATGGGGAGATGGGAGATGGGTTATGTAAAGTCGAGTTTGTCTCGAGTCGAGGGCGACGGGAGGGGGAGGGAAAGAAACAGAGCAGGGCATGGATAGATGTGCGCTAGTACGAAAGAGGTAGTAAGTGAGTATGTGAGAGACGAAAAGGGATATTGAATGAATGAATGAATGAATGAATGAATGATTGACCGATAGATGGAAAGATGGATGGAAAGATGAAAAGATAGATAGATAGATTGGTTGACTGACTGACTGGTTGACGGACTGACGGACTGACTGATCGACTGATAGACTGATAGACCGATCGACTGATAGACTGACTGACTGACTGACGAACGGATTGATGGATTGATTGATTGATTAGGTAGTAAGTAGTATGTATAATAGAACAGGAAAAGAAGAAAAGGAAAAGTGTGCGCGAGA